TTCTTCCCCCCCCCCATCTCTCTGCCTCTTGCAAGTACATAAACCCAGGGATTTTCAGTGCTTTAGTTGTGACATATGTTAAAGAACATCAGATTTGCACATCTCTTCAGAGTGAAAACTCTTCCTTGGTCAAGCTTTTATCCTGAGCCCTGTTTCTTCATTATCTGGATCACAGAACTTGCTAAATGCCTTTTTGTTCTGAATTCTTCCCAGCTGCCTTTCCAGTGGAGTCTGATTTTCCGTAACCTCAGTTTAACAAAAAATCAGTAAAGCGGTGGCACTCCGAAAGTCAAGACTGTAGTACCCATGGGCAGCAATTGTAAATCCCAGCTGTTCGATATCTCCGGTATTACAGCCTGGGTGGCAACAAAACAGCCCTGCCAGACGGAGGTGCCCTCCTGTAGGATGTCACGTAGTGCGTGCGGAGAGGGAGCGTTACCGACTTTGTTGGTACTTCTATTTACTGAGCCTGGAGTGGTGATTTTTGTTGTGTGATTTGACATATTTGGTCTCAGAAGACATTAAGAATTCTTGTTAAGACATGTCAAGAGCAAGCAGAAATGAGAGAACGGGCAGAGCTGTGCTGGCAGTGTAGGTGCTGCTGTGGTGTGCTTGTTCGGCTTAGCAGATGGAAAAGTGTGGGGTATCGCTGAAAAACATTAAATACTTGTGTGATTTCCTGCTGCAGCATTTGAGGGGACACAAGCACTTAGTGTTTGACCCAGTCTTTTAAAGGAGAGTATTTATAAAACTGACTTTATAGAAATATTTCCATAAATTTAAAAAAATGTTCCAAAAGGAATTTTAACCCAGCCTTGTTCTCCAGCGTTTTCGTGCGATCTAAACACTGCGGAGTTGTGAACCTGCAAAGTTGTAGAGCAAAACCCTGAACCAGCAAACAGCTCGGTGCAGGGCTTTGCAGCCGGCGCCTGGCTCTGCGTGGCTGCGGGGTGCTGCCCACGTGAAATCCGTGTGTGCTTGAGAGCAGGGTCGTTCTTGGGCTTGGATGGAGCAAAGCACAAGAAAAGGTAATGATGGAAGTGATAGTGTGGGTTTTCAGAATTCAGTTTGGTTCCTTGTAGTTGGTTTGAATATATAATCGTCTGGCTGGGTAGCTGACACTCTCGAGAGTAAAAAGTGACTTACAGAATATAGAAAAGAAAGAGCAACCTGACAAACTCAATTATAAATTTGGAAGTCTCTGCTATAAATCAGCTGAAAGCCAGGGTGATTAGAATTTCAGGGCCAAATAGATAATTGTCTGTTAGGTGGCAGATGGCATACTGGTAAGAACAAAATCTAAAATTATGGATCTATTTCCATAATTTTCGTGGTTCTGGTGCCATTTTTCAAATCTAAAATGGTATAATGTTAATGCTGACGTATTGTGATTTGTCATGACTAGAATGGCATAAAATATTCACTTCTAACCTTGGCGTCTCATCACAAAATGAACTTAAACACCTCACTGTGCAAATCCCCATTTTTCACCTCTCGGCTCCATCCCCTTCCATTTCAGCCTGGCGTTTGGAGCCTCTGTCAGAGAAAGCTTCTGAAAGCTCCAATCCAGTCCTCTGTACGGTGTATAAATGTGGAGTCCTCAGTTTTAGAAACTTGATGAATCAAGTGGTTTGGAAGTTGTCCTGCTAAATCCAGAGGTGGGCCCATGGAAACCTCATGAACTTCAACGAGGCCAAGTGCAAGGTCCTGCATGTGGGTGGGGGCAGTCCCAGTCCTGGGGAAGAGACGGCTCTGGGGAGAGCTTCCAGCACCTCCCAGTGCTGAAAGGGGGCTGCAGGAGAGCTGGGGGGCTCTGGATCAGGGGGTGCAGGGACAGGACGAGGGGGAACGGTTTGAAGCTGCAAGAGGGGAGATGGAGATGAGATGTGAGGAAGAAATGTTTTCCTGTGCGGGGGGTGAGGCAGTGGCCCAGGGTGCCCAGAGAAGCTGTGGATGCCCCATCCCTGGAGGGGTTCAAGGCCAGGCTGGATGAGGCTTTGGGCAACCTGGGCTAGTGGGAGGGGGGGCACTGGGTGGGCTTTAAGGTCCCTTCCAGCCCAAACCATCCTGGGATTCTGTGATTCGATTAAATTTGGTTTGGAAAGACAGCTGCAGAAAGCCAGGATGGGCAGAGTGGCGCAGATGCCTTTGGCTTTTAAACTTTTCCAGTTGCTGCTTTTGGACCCATCATTAGAGAGAAGAAAACTTGTTCTTGGAAAATGAAAGGGTACCACATTTGCCTCCCAAATATTCAGGGTTTAAAAGCAGTGAGCAAAATTCTGTTCACGTAAAGGAAAACTGACAGCCCTTTGGTGTGACGAGGCAGCATATCCAATCTCATCCATCCTCTGTCTGCCTGATTATCAGCTCAGGAAAGAACAGAGAAGGAGAGTTTTGAGACACTGCAGCTAGAACAGCCCAAGAAATCATTTTGTAGTGGAACTTTTCGCAACACCGTGACAAACGCAGCTTAAATGGTTGAATAGGGAAATTAATTAAGAATAAACGTATTTATTGAAATAGCACTTGGGGGGCCTGTGTGAAGTGAGTTACTTTGGAGTGTCTGTCATCAGGCCTCATGCAGTCCCTCCTTGTGTGAGAAGACAGAAGGAGAGGAGGAGATTTCCCTTGTAGGATGTAAGCAGCTCCTGAAGGGAAAGCCAGGGTTGTTTTCTTGCCTGTGATGGAGGTGTCAGCGAATTCTGGATCCCAGGGAGCCGTTAGCACTGCTGTGGCAGGGATGCCTGGGGTTATCGCGTGCTTTGGAGAAGGATGTTCAGATCTTCTGAAATGAAGGGGTTAATAATGTTGAGAGAAGGAAATAACTTTAAATTTCATACTCAGCTTAAAATGAGGGTGATTCAGAATTACAACGTTAGGAGTTTTATGCAACAAAACAGAGTCATTTCCACATCCTCTGCATGTCCAGGCTCTCTGTGTGCCAGAAGGGTGGGTCCTCCTTCCTCAGCTCCGATTTAGAAGAGAAAGGAACCAAAGAGATCGCTTAGCTGTTTCCTTTCTGGGGCACCAGCCCTGTCACTCAGCTGTCTTTATGGAAACACCAGCTTTCCTGCAGCAAACTTCAGGATCAAGCTCTAAGACATGAAAGCATTCGCTTGGTACTGTCAGAGTCCAGAGTTCCTCAAAGGTTTGTCCTGTTCCGTTAATGAAGAATGAGAACTTCCCATTTAGAATCATGCTGCCACTGAAACAAAAAAACAAAAAAACAAAAAACAACCAACACAGAGATCTGGAACACCCCAAGTGATATGAGATTTGAGTAAATTTTGTGGAGGACTTCTTTATTTCCCCCCTCCTTGGTCATAATTTAGTTTCCTCGGAGCAGAGCGCTCCAGTGACTAATCCATCCCACACTGAGTTTTTAAAAGGCAAGTTGACTTTATTTGTTTGTCCAACATTCCTTCTGCTGGTGGTGTTGGAGTCTGAATGTTATCAATCAGTTCAGCAAATGTTTATTCTCGTCCATATGACCAGCTCTGTGAAACTTTACTTTGGAAGCTTGATGTTTGAAAAGGGGAGGGGGGAGAAGTCTGGTGATGTGGCTTTTTGGGTATGTGCGCTAATTAAGGAGGATGCTGCCAGAGGCTCGCAATGTTGGGTTTGTGAAACACACAGCGGGAGGGAAGGACGAAAGCAGGGACTGAAATGACAGCAGGAGTTTCAGACCAAAGTAACCTGCATATTCTGATTCTGAAATAGAGCAGCAAACGCTGTTGCAGCCTCTAGACAGGGGCACTCTGTGGAGGAATGATTTGTTTTAAACTGTCATTTTCTCTCAAATGTCTTGTTTGAGTGAAGCATTTTTAGAAGACTCTTATCTTTTTTGAGCGCTGATGGAGAATATTGTCGATTCTCTGAAGCCGCCTTCTTCCCCTTTGTTATCTGACTTTTTTCCAGGGATTGAATCAAAGAATGTGCAGGTCACTGCAACGCCGGGGCTGCGACTGCTCAGAGCCAGGCTGTGCGGATTATAAAAGAGAGCTTTATTTAAGGCACTCCTTAGAAGCTGACAAGTCCTAGTCTCTCCTAGCTGCAGAGAGGATCCTTGTAGGTTTAATTTATCCTACCAGCTGGAGCCAAAAGGGCAGGAGGACAGAGAAGGCTGTGCTGGTGTGTGTGTTGGAACGTGCACAAACCCGCTGCCTTGCAGTCCTCAGGAAAAGGTTAATGAGCTGAGCCCAGGCAGGACAGTTCAAATGTCCCAGAAGGAACTGTTTGAGTTGGAAGGGGTTTCTCAGAAATCACCCAGCCCATCCGCAGGACTCTCTTAAGAAAGCACTTCGAGTTTTGATAGGAAGATATCAAAATGTCACGGATCTCCCCTTTCTCCTTCGGGGAGATATTCTGTTAATAAATACAAATAAAACCTCTGTGCAGTCAGTCCCTAAGGACTGATTTCTTCCTTTGCCCACCACAGCATTAAGTGTGTTGTGTACCTCGGTGGTGCTGCTTTCTACGTGTAACTGCTGCAAGGTGGGCAGATGGTGGGTGGTTTGACAGTTTGATCAAGTTTCACTGTTGCTATCGCAAAGAAATGCAAAAACTCAGAAGGTAACATACCTATATTTAGGGATATATCAGCTTTGGCTGTACGTTTTTAGCCCAATATAATTACCATTCGGAAATACTGACACTCCTTGAACAATGTGAGGAATTCAGACATGGACGCATCTTTCTAGAATTCTCCTTTGGCTCACACAGCCCAGGGAAAAAGGGGACTCTCAGTGTTTGGAGTGTTGTGGTACTTCTGAAATGTGCCAGTCCCGAGTTCTGCGCAGGAGTGATGAGTTTGGGACTTCAGCAACCTGCCAAATGCAGCCCCATTCGCAAGTGTTCAGTGCACAGTAAGATTTTATAATTAATGGGCCATTGGTTGCCAGGTTTAGCAGTAAATGGGAAACTCCTGTTCATTCCCAGAGCTGAAGTTCAGAAAACTTTCAGTTCTGTTAAGCGCTTTCATTCAATTTTTCATTTTACAGATGATGAAATTCGCTTGGGATAACTACAAACAATACGCACTTGGAAAAAATGAACTGCGACCGCTGACTAAGAATGGCCACATCGGGAACATGTTTGGTGAGTTCTGAATCAATTTTAGTGCAATTTCGTTGCATTTTTTTTTTTTAAGGTCAAGTGTTCATGTCAGTTCCTTTCTCTGCAATGCAGGGAGGTATCTGTAGCAGCTTTGATCTCTTTCCATTTTTATGAAGTGAGGCTTTCAACGGAGCTCCCAGACCTTACCTACTCAGATTCCACTGCAGGGAATCTCATTCCTGCGGGCATCTCTCAATGCCCAGCCTGCATCACCTTTGTGTACAGCTCTAGCACCAAACGGGTCTGAGAACAGTGCTAAAACCAGCCAGGGTCTTTATTAAAACATGAAGTCAGTCCAAACCTGACGATGCTGCTGTTTGTCTAAGCTTGTAGATGTCAGGACCAGACCAAACTGAGCATTTTCTCTCTCATTTCTCCACTGTTGAGCAAGTTGTGAATTCCATGAAATATTGAGTGAGTGAATCAATATTAAAGGCTCTTTATTCATACTTTGTGCTTACTGGCTTGTATAATTTTGCTCTTTACCAGATTACCTTTTTTTTGTGTGAGCCACTTACATCGTTTCAGTGCTTTTCACCCATTTGTTCTGGTGGGATACTTGCTGACTTTCTGACTTTGTGGGGTATAAATGGTCTTTTTCCTCATTTGCACTCAAAGCATTTCCCTTTGCTCCCTCTGCCCTAGCTTGCCCTTGCCTGCACAGGTTGTGCCATGGTGAGAAGATGCATCAGATGGAGGAAGGCCGGCAGAATCTGCTGTAGCAGCCCCATCCCACCCCTGCTTGGGGAATACTTGCTGTCTGTACAGAGGTCTCTTGGCTTCTTTCCACAGGACTCTGTTCTGCAGAGATTATCTCCCAGAGTCCGTTGCCCAGATTAGGGTGGTATCTGTGAGATTTATTGCCTCAGGGCAAAGGGATTGGGCTAATACAGTATGAAGAAAGACTCCCCTTCCTGTTTTTGCGCTCTCTAGGTGTCCCAGTCCTTCTCTACCTCAGATACATGACATGGGTGTGTGGAGGCACCTCCTACAGAGGCTTCATTAGCTGTGGGGAGCTGTGAGACGTGTGAAAGTCGAGGTTTGAAGGTGGAAATAGCATCATGTGTCTTCTAGGATGGCCAAAACCTTGAAGAGCAGCAGCCCTGTGTGGCCTCTGGACAGCAAGGGCAGTTTCACTTTGTCAGGAGCTGGGATTTGGGTTTGTTTGTTTGTTGCCTTCCTCTTTCACCGCCCCAAGAATACCCAGGTTTCTTCCTTGAGAATTTGCATTAACTTCGACACTAAGTTAAGCATTTTGCAACTTTTCCATTCTGGCAAGCTTGTCAAAATTCCTCAAGGAACGTGCCTGTAAACAGAGAAAAATATTGAAAGCTTTTAAATGCGTTTATCACGCTAAAACAATTGGCAGTACTTCTGCTTGTTCGTAGCGTGTCTGTGAGCACTCTCAAGGAAGATGCTTTGGAGCACAAGGATTTGCAGACCGTTGCAGAAAAGAAGCTACATGGTACATTTCAGCCTCCTAATAGGCTTTTCCTCCTTTTAACTGTGGCTGGTAAAGAACGGAAGCATTAGACGATCCGTTGCTGCAGCTCTCTGTGCCTCTTGTCTTCAGAGGCTTTTAGAAATTAGGACAGAGCACTGTTTGCCTTCTTCATTGTTGCCTATTCCCCCTCCTGTGGCATCATGGATCTTTTTATTCCAAACTACAGATGTAATGGAGGCAAATCGGATACTCCCCAGGCTGGAGGTGTCAATATTAAGCTGAGATTTCTCTGCAGCTGCTTCCTTGTGGGAGGGAAGGAACCTTTTTGGGGCTATTTTCAAGTATGTTTGCGTGCATGAGAAGCAATCGAGTTCTCAGAGGGTGATACATTTTCCTGTTGTGGATGTGATGCTCACTTGTAGCCTAGCCTCACCCTGGGGGAAGTGGGAGAGCTGCTCTTTACCAAATATTCTGACTAATCAAAGTAGAAATACAAAATAAACATTCACCTTCTGCTCCTACATAGCATTTTGCTTCTCTTAACAGCCATGAGCCAGCATCCCTCCCCAGCGTCTACCCCAGTGGCAGGAAAATCACAGGCAGAGGAACTCTTGTGTCTCCACACGAGTTAATCTCCTTTCACCTCTGCTTCGGAAGGTGGCAGCTCACATCTGTGAGAGTATCTGTACAGTTTTCATAGTTTTCCATCCCCGGAGATCAGACTTGCCCGCTCCCCGAGTGCCAGGCTGCTGTGTACACTGGAAGGCAGCGTTCCCACTCGGGCTTTGATCTGGTGGCTTGGTCTTCCATTACTGCTT